CTTCATGTCACTTTTGTCTTAAATGAAAGGCTTATATTTTATATTGAGAGCCAAGAAACTGTAAATTAAATATACAGTGTTACCCTTGGTTATTGGCTGCTATTCAGTGTATATACAGACAATCATTATGTTTACAATGTCCTGTATTTCCAATTCAGTTCAGAGCTGTTCAGAAGTTGAAGCTAAAGCTATGTCTAATAGCCCACAGCCAGAAAATCACAGTAGGCTCGTTGTGCTGTCTGACTTTCTAAGACTGGCAAGTAGCTCGCGTGAGTAACCCCGTCTTCTCCCCTTTGCACCGTGAGAGCTAAGCCATTTTTACACCCTGCTGAAGGAAGGGAGCGATTGGAACCAGGGGCTGGCAAACTCCACCACGGCGGCTGCTGTCCACCTGTTTTTTCTCCAGATGAATAGTTCAAGAAATCTAACAGGAAGACAGTAGATGGTGGTGTCTGATGGCTGCCCAGGACTTGCAGGTGCTTTTACCAGGTTTTCTACCCAAAGTGAGAATTCTTCTATCTAATGGTGGTGTTCAGAGTCCCTGGAAACTTTTTACCTGTGTAGATAGACCTTTTCTTATCTCTTACGGCACTAATATTACGGACGTCTCGTAGGATAACTGTGAGCGTTAAGCACGTTTACACGTGTGAAGGTTTTCGTGCAGTAGATGGGCATTTATCGATTAATATTATGACCTTTTCACTTCCATGTTCCTTTTCAATACTTCTCTTGTTGGCTGACAAATTTGCTTATTGAGCCAAAGAACAGCTCCTGAGCCTACTGCAAAGCAAGCGCATGCACAATCTGCATTAGCAGTCCTTCAAGTATTTGAAGGCAGCTTTCATGAATTTAATAACTACTTTCCGTGTGGCTCTTTTTTTTTTTTTTAAATTTCAAGAATAGAACACAGTACACCATAAAAATGAGAGTTATCAGTCTTCCTTTGGATTTTCTATGTAAATGTTGTTCAACATTCAAATGGTGCTGATTATAATTTGAGATATTAACAGTTAGATATGCCATTGTGTCCCTCTGTTATTGTTTGCAAAGGGGGTTAAACACTATATTAACTTGTGAGTAGTGATTTATGGTTTCCTTTGTTAGAGAAAAATAAAAAAGTAAAATAATATAATTTGATATTGGCAATGAGACTTTTTGGTTTGTGGAGCTCTTTATTTCATACTCAGTTTCATTTCATACTTTAAGAGCGTACGTGTAGTATAAATTCAGCGTCGCACCGACACAGGGCTTCCCCCTGGCTTAAGCTGTTGTACAGTATTGCTCTGTCACTGTTGGGCTGTGGCTCTGGATCAGAGAGGCTCATAGTTCCTTTGAGAGATGAAGGAAATGCATTACAGGAACGTGTCCACATTACTTAAAGATCTTTGACCACTGTGCCCGCTTTTGTGATTTATGGTGGCCTGTGTAATATGTGAGAACCATGTTTCTGAAAGGCCTCATGACCTAGAGGCTATAGAAGGGTTTCTTTTAGCAGTCGTGCCCTTCTTGTTGAGCCCACGCCTCCATGCTCCTGCAGGGCTCCTCGTCTGTTGCCAGGTCCTTCCAGGTACTTTGCAAGTCCTTAGGCATTGTTTCCCTTACCCGTCCCAAAGCAAGCAGCATTAGTTAGCTAGCCAAGCCCTGTGACACCCCGTGTGTCTTTCTTTGCTTCACTTTGTCTTGGGTCAGGTGTGTGCAGTGAAGTCTGGATGCTGTGCACAAAGGCACATGCAGGCAGTGGCCCTCTGCTCCTGCTTCTGCTGCCCCCTGCCCCTGCCCCATTCCCATCCACGCCCAGGCCGGCTAGCCCATGGCCATCCCCAGCACTCACGCTGGCCGTTAGCGCTGTCCTAGAAATCCTCCCTTCACTGAAGCCCCTCTGTACACCACGTAGGCGCGAAATCCTGTGTCATCACTGGCCAAAATGGCTTTTCTTGGTCATCATTATCCTATACTTTGTTGTGTTCAAATTAGTTGTTTAGATATACGTGTGGAAAGTTGGTAAAAAAAAAAAAAGTTATAAGAAATTTAAAAGGAGAAGAAAAAATATTTTCATAGATTTAGTAAGAAATCTCTTTCAGCTTTCCCGGTAGATTTCGGATTCTTAGAACTTGAGTTGGAGAGACGGCCTGGCACACTCTGCATGGCCTTCCCTGGTCAAGGAGAGATGTGAGACCTAGTAGATCCTGCTTATCTTTATCTGTGGGACCAGAAGTAGATGGCTCTCTGGCTGACGGACTGCTCCCGGGTGTAAGATAAAAGCAAACCTCGTTGATCTACATGCTGAAGCGTGCACTGCGTGCAGTGTAATCCACATATTTGGATGTTCAGCAGCTACTCACTTAGGAGTTTATTTCATGTATTTTTGAGCTCCAGCTATTGAAATGGTTCAGGGCCTTTGGGTGTTACTTGGTCTTGAAGGCCACGGGGAGGGCTGGGTCAGGATAGAGCCGTGTCACACTCTTGCTGCTGCCTAGGGGCCTAGCGTCCTGCTCCCCTAAGTGCTAGCGAGTGGCCGCGGAGAAGGTGCTGCCTGTCACTTGTAAGGCCCCATATCCACATCGTCATGGAATTCCTGAGTTGGTGGTTTGTGGCCTGATTTTACCAAGCGAAGTCTTAAATTTGTGTCCTGTGTTCATTTAGTAATTCCCTGCTATGTGGGCAGCGAACTCCTTGTTGAGGCTCGGAGGGGAGATGCAGGAAAGCCTCGGCCCTTAGGGTGGGAGCCGATCATCCGGAAGAAGCGCAGGCTGTGGAAGCAGCTCTGAGGAGTCGTCATTCCAAACTAGGTGTGGTTAGAGTCAGAGGAAAGAGATCGTTTCTGGGGCCGGAGAGATGGCTCAGTAGAATAAGTGCTTCCCTGGCAAGTGCAAGGGCCTGAGTTCAATCCCCTATTCTGTGGAAACAAAACAAAACAAAAAGAGATTGTTTCTGGCCAGACCCAGGAGGAAGGAATAGAAGAGGAGGAAGGAGCAGGGGGCAGAGGTGGAGGTGGCTGCTAACAGACGGGAGCAGGGTGAGCAGGAAGTGCGTCTAGTTAGGGGTGCCAAGGGGGATGCGGGGGCAGGCATTGCAAGCGACCAGTTGACCTTGTCTCATGAAATCAATGAGCTAAAGGTTTTCTATTTATTTGCTATATATTATATTTTCTACAGATTTGCTTTGTTGAGTTTACTGTGTATAAAGTAATGAGCTAGGCTTTAAAACTAACAAAAAGAAAAATCTTCATAGCAGTAACTTACTGGTCTAGAAGATGACAAACATCATTCTTTTTCATAGAAGAAAAGGTGGTAAATTAGCCCTTTTTTGTATTCATGACTTTTAGAACTTTGTATGGTTTTGGTTCTGTAGAACTTTCTGGGAAGTCACTGAAATGAATTTATGCTGGTGCAAAACTGATTGCTCGAGTTTCTTAAAATAGAAGTAAATCAAGTGGGGACATTTTGTTGTTACTCTTTTTCAAAATTTGTTTTCAGAGTAATGGCTTCGTATGTGCTCTAAGTGTGTCCCTAACGGGGATCTTGCATCTTCTCCTCCCCACGCCTTCTCTGCTGTGCTTCTGAAGGGAAGCAGGTGGGCGAAGCTGCGCAGGTAGCTGCGTGCTCTCAGCCGGGCAGCGCGGGTGCCAGTTCAATGGTGTTCCTTCTTTTCATGCTGTGTGTGGTTGAAAGCAATGTCGTGATTTCTGTTCTGGCAAATTTTCTAAATACTTACAAAAACTCCAGGAATGTTTGCAGTGCATGTCTGTAATCCAGCGTGTGGCTGATTTCTGGCTCTCTGGCTGGTCCTCCTCAGCATGTCTAACCAGTGCTTACCATGGGTTTTCTCCTTTTAGCTCTGCAGTCACAGCCACTCTGTCAGGCAGATTAGATGATTGTATCATCACTAACTTAGGGCTGAGGAGCATGGAGCACACAGAGGTCCAGCAACGTGGCCAAGGTGCCGAGGACACCAAGGTTGGATTCTGGCCCCAGGGCTGTCTTGCCAGCCCATCCACATGTCTCCAGCCCATGCTGAGTCTGATACCTCAGGCAGCCCTAAAACTTCTATGAAATCAACCAAATTGCCAGTTCTTGCAGTCTAAACCCCTCACCCCCTATTTCAGTTCTGCAGATTCTCAGACCATTCTTACTTGCTCCCCGAGGCAGCAGAAAGGAAGCTGTATCCCACCTTCCAAGGAATTTGGCCCTCCTCACCGTATGCGGCCCCTTGATGTGGCTAAGGACATGGGGCTGTTGCTGTTCATGGGACACTTTTTGGGCTCCTGAAGTACGGTTCACAGTCCCTGTGGACCCAGTGCCTCCATGTTACATAAGAGTCAAGTGGCTTTCACTGTCACTTGCTGCATAAAACGTCCAGTTCTTGAAATAAGGGGTACAAGGAGTAGTAGTGAGAGGAGGTAGAGCACTTGAATTGCTCAAGCAGGGTCGAGTAAAGGTGCACAGAACAGCTTGCCGTAGGAAGTGTCCACCATGCGTGCAGGCTCTGCCTCTGTGCCCTGACCCCGGAGCAGCCTGGGAGTGGGAGTCCCAGCAGCTCCGCTGGCTTTAATCAGGCCAGGATTCGTGAAAGAACAGTGGTTTCCAGAGACCTTTGAAGTACTTCCAACAAAGTGCTAATTGTGGTTGTGGTTTTCCTTTTGCTCCCCCTCCCCCTTTTACATGGGTAGTCGGCCTACCAGGCGCTCTGGAGTCGGTGCATTCCCAGTGTCCTGACCCTCCATTCGCTGTGCGTGGGTCATGGAAGTAAAACCACACCAAGTGCTTCATGTATTTAGAAAGAAAGAAATTTCTTGGCAGTTTATTTAGCATCTAAACATTTTACCTTTGTTTAAACAGGCTAGCATTCACAAGAGTTTTGCTTTTATGTGCCCTTATTATAACCCTTCTTAGTTTTTGATCTAACCTTTGGTCTAAAAATGAACGAATTCTACGATGTAATGGATTTTTTAAAGAATCTTCATGCTTATGTTGATCCTCTTCCCCTCTGTTTATTTTCAGGATACCTGGAGGACAGTTTTGTAAAATCTGGAGTCTTCAACGTGTCAGAACTTGTGAGGGTATCCAGAAGTAAGTAAATCATTTTCTTATTGTTGAAGTATATAGTACAATGCAAAATATTTTCTATTTTAGCCTTAAATACAATACAAAGAATGACTGCTAGGAAAATTTAAGTTTTACAGTCTTCAATCAGTGCTCACTTGGTCAGCACATAAATGATAATAAAATCCTCAATCATTGAATAAATCATATGTGAGTATACCTGATTTCTTAACCTACACTCCAGTCATCAAAACTTTCTTTGTGCAAAACTAATTTTTAGCTTGCTCTCGTTGCCATGTTACCAGCATTCATTTAATTCAGTTCTCTCTGTGACCATAGATGGTCATTTATATCAAAGGAAGTGTGATTAATTAAATGTACTCTGTGTTGTTATGATAACCCACATAAGTTTCCTGTAGATAAGTGCTTTTGCATTTTACTGATGTTTTGGTGGGGGCTTGGAGATGTACAGGATATGCACACTAGCACGCGGAGTGGAAAGGGATGCAGAAATTAACTTTACAGATTGCGGCTGGATATAGATAGAAAGCATTGTTATCCAAAACAATGTGCAATTGTTTTAACTGGCTCCCTTACCTGGGATCCCATTCTTGGCAGGCGGCTCAGATTTTTCTAGGCTAAGCTCACCTGGCTAGCTACCTAAGCGACGGAGAAATTTCCTTGGTCAGCTCTTTCGTGTATTACTAGTGAGTGCAAATGTACCTTGGCTATAGATCTTAATGTATTGATTATGTTCAAAGGAGGGGGCTGATTGCTTCTGCTCCTTTCTCTGGTTCAGGTTGCTAGAGTAACATTGAATAAAATGTTTTAACCTGATGTATTAACAGAAGATGTCACAATTCAGGATGATGCTATTCAGACAATGAGGTGATACTTTTTGATCTTCATTTAAGTCCTGTTCCTCATTTGGGTCACCTTGGAGATCCTGAACAAGTATTATAACAATCCAAATTTAAAAACAAGGGAGGGAGGGAAGGAAAGAGCTAGAGAATCCAAATCAGCAATTCTTCAGAGCCCTTTTCCAGAAGGAATCTTTACGATAGTAGGTGACTAAGCCTTTTCCACTGCAGTTTCTCAAGTAGCTCCGCTTTCAGAAGTGCACAGAGCAGCATGCTTTTCACCGTAAGAGACACAGGCACAAGACCTCTGTTTGCTGGCAAAGCTCTTGGGCAGATAGCAAGTGTCTGACCAGAAGTCGGCTGTCTGCAGGAGATAAAAATAAAGTCTGTATCGCAGCAGCCCAGATCCATGCGCGATATATAAAGGCCTCCAGTGTTGGAACGCTTTTCATTTTGACTTGGAAAAGGATCCACCTGGCGTCTTTGCTGCCACACTCCGTGCCGTCCGCGTAAGAGCGGGGAAGCTTGAGGGTCTGTGTTCGAGCCTGCCTGCTGTGACTGAGCCAGAAGGCCAGGCCGCTGCAGTGAGATGGCACAGACGAGTATTTGCTTAACTTTGTACCTCTAAATTCCACAATGTGTTTTCATTCTTACGCGAAGGGCAGCAGAGTCGTCTGTCAGGAAGTATTTATTAGGGCCTCCTTATGGGCAGCATTATGCTAAGTGCTGTCAGAGGAGAGCCACTTTGGAACCTTCTAATTCCCAGAGTGCAATTTTGAAAAATCTGAATTTCAAACATAAAAAATAGACTAAAAATACCTTTCTGCAATAGTGCAGAAAAAATAAGGTAAACGTAACATACTTCATTCATTCATTTCTAATTCATACTGTCATTTCTTAGAGGTTTTTAGGTTACTTGTTATAACAAACATTACTGATTTGTAATTAGTACATTAATTATCCATATTCATTCCTTAGCTAATTTATTCTGCAAACATTTATATTCTCCTCCACATGTAAATAGGTGTCTCTGAAATGCTTGAGAAGTTATTCTCCTAAGTGTTTTAAAATAATCACATCATAATCTTGTTTACACAATTGAACTTCATTGTTTATGAAATAAGAGTTTGCTAAGTCAACATCAATGTTAGCACGACCCTTATGCTCCTTCTTATCACTAATTCTGCCTTCTTGAGGTTCCGCTGTGTTAATGGTTCTTTCCTCAGGGTTTTACTGTCATCTGACCCTCTAATGTGTGTGTTGACTTTTGCTAATAAAGCTATTTAGTTTTCGAATGGGCATCTCTTTGCTGAACGATATTATCTCCATCTTGAAAGTTAATTTAGAACCAGCTTTTGGAATGAGGAGAACAATAAGAGAGATTGAGGGCTGCCCTCTCACCCAGAGAATCCGAGATTCATTGGTGCTGCAATTCTGAGAGGGCCTTGGCGACCTTTTCAAGGCACTTTGCAGCTTTCAGCTTGGGTCCTTGTGCTCTCTGGCCAGGTGCTAATGTGACCTCCAGTCTTCTGTGTTCTTCCACGGGCTTTGGGGAGGAAGACCGGACCCAGCCTTGGTCTTCTCACATGCTGTCCTTCCTGCTAAAGGCAGACGTGTGCAGTTTCAGGGGTTTGGCCATGTTTCCAGGCCGCTGTCCCTTTCTGTAATCTCCCCCTTCCTGTCAGAATACATGCTAAGTTTTTATAGTGTACATATGTAGAAATTATTTTTTTTGATTGCTTGATATTCTGGAGTGATCCTTCTGGAACAAAATTTAGAAACAAAACCAACATTCCTGAAGAAGTTTTACATTATCACTTTACTCCAGTGACAGCCAGCATTTTTATGGCCAAGAAATGTGTGTTCACTGTTGATACATGAAATTATAAAGCATTGCCTAAAATATTGGGGTATTCTAAATGGATGCGTGCATAGTTTCCAGAGCATAACCAGTAAGCTTCCCGTTACTCACTCAGGTCTCCAGTTTGTACCTTGCTGCGGTCAGTCGTTAGATTATTCAGCCTCTGAGCTTCTCAAATGCCTGACTCCAGCAGATTCCCTGATTTCAGTGGAACGTGCACCTAATAACCCATTTTTAAGCATGTGGTCACTGTGGAATTTCTTACCTCACGTGTTTTTAACCTCTGGTGTACCTGAAGCCACAACCAACATACCTACATCTTAGCTGTCCAGCCAATTTAAGCCATCAGTACACATTGCATATAAATATCTTTCTGTGCAAAAGGAAGTTATGTAGAATGAACAATCTAATGGAATAAATGCTCCTGAGACTTACTGTGTAACATTTAATATTGATCCGTAATATCTTTAGTAAAGAAAAATAGATACTTATTGAATATTCCTTGTTTACCTCTCTCCAGTGAAGGATGTACCTCCTGATCGTACTCTCCTGAAAGTAATGTTGAAGTTAATCATGGCCTAGCTGATTCTAAAATACAACTCAGCTAATAACGGATGCATTTATGACATTTCTTAAAAACTCTGTAGTTGAAGTTTTCTTGAAAACCTGTGTTTCCATTGGAATTTTCTGTTTAATTGGAGGAAGCAGGGAGAGATAGCTAAGTGGATTATGTGTCCTTAGAGTGAAGTTCGAGGTCTGGAGGTTTGTTGCCAAGCCTGGAACACTCTGCCATTAGCTTCTGAGAGCCCAGAGGAGAAGACACTCCTCCGGTGGGCGCTGGACGCGGTCCAGTGATTCGGCCTGCCTGGGTCTCCGCTTTGCGGTTGGTCTCTGGGTTGGCTGTTGTTCCTCAGTAAACCCTTGTGGAAGAATGGCCTCATTCTCCACAGTAGAGAGAGAGCCGGACAGCAGGTTTCCACAGACTGCTCTGACCATTCAAGCTTTGCTGGATTCCTTGTCCTGCAAAGCCAGAAGTGTGCTATTAATTTGAGCATCTTTATTATAATCAACGTTATCCTTGTACTTACATGTTCTTAGCATGTTTTCACTTACCTGATTTGCTGCCCAATATGTTTATTAATGGTAGGGTTACTGAAATGAGTTTTTGTCCTTTGGAATACTTGACAAAAGTGGATGTAACTTTGCAGTGGACCAGTGTCAGAAAACAGGTTCATTTTTATTGCTTCATTTACTTTTCACACATTTTCTAAACTTTTCTGTCCTTGTTATAGGAAAGAAATTGGAGGGAGAAAGGAAAGATGGAAAGGAACTCGGATTTATTGAGCACCTTTTATGTACGAGGCATGATGCTGAGTTTTTAACCACCTCTTACCTCATTTCATTATCAAAGTAATTGTATCTGATGTTAGTATTATTATTCTTCCCATTTTACAGTTTAGGAAACTGAGGTAAATAGTTTCCATGCCAGCCGAGGTTGGACCAGAAGACTATTTCCCAGTATGCTGCTTGTTGTAACATAATATACTGTTTCCCAGATGTATAAAAATAAATTTTAAAAATTTGGGCTGATGTAATCATTGTACAAAAAATACTTGTTTATAAAAACGTTAGCTCATATTGTATTGGCAAACAAAAGATTTCTTGATTTATAAGCTAAAATATTAAAATATGAAATCCAATCCCCAATTCTGTTAAAAAAAAGTCCCACAAGAATATTTTAAATGTGGTATAAAAATTTTTAAAAATAAGCAAAAGCATAGCTATTCAGTAAAATCACAGTTAGCACTCGTACATAAAACGTGACTATTTTAGAAAAATCCGTGACATTTATGTCGTCTTTGTAAATTTTATTTATGTACGTGTCCTAATATAATTATATCAAGTGATTATAAATATCTGGCTTTTAATCCATTCTAATATTGATATTACAGAGAAATGATCTTTGGTATGTGTTTGAGAAGTGGTCCTGTATTTCTTTCGCTGTGATTTGGTGCAATCCAAAGCAGCCTGTTGGGTGTGAGGAGGAGGAATCCTGCTTTCCTCAGCCCCCAGGCTCTCTGGGCAGTGTGGTGACAGATGCGGGGACGCCTAGCACATGTCGGTGTGTGCAGCGCTGGGCAGAGAGGGCGCTGTGCTGCACAGTGACCATGTCCCCAGTGTGCAAGTGGGCCGCAGACCCACTCGGGTGTTAGGTACTCTAAGGGGAGTCTCCTCTTCCAGGCTGAGGTCCTGGAAGGCACCAAGTTCTTACATCTGGGTACGGCCGTCAGCCTCAAGGTGTCCCCTCTCTTTCTCAGCACCCATAACCCAGGGAACTGGAGTCAATTTTCCAATTGGAGAAATCCCGAGCCAGCCGTACTATCATGACATGAACTCCGGGGTTAACCTGCAGAGGTCACTGTCTTCTCCACCAAGCAGGTAGGGAGAGGGCTATGCAGCTATGTGGGCAGGGGACAGGGGAGGGAGGGAGGAAGGAGGGGGATGGGAAGGGGAGAGGAAGGGCAGGGGAGGGGGGAGGAGGGGCTAGAGGGCAGGCTGGGGGGAGACAAGAGTTTCTACCTAATCCTGCCTAGTATATGTTATTTTGATATTTGAAAATTAAATTAATTACTGCTCTACTTTAAAACCGTTTGGGGGGTGAGGAGGAAGGAACTATGAAAACAGATTTGCCAACAATGGGAGTTAACTGCTTTTGCACAAGATGTGGTATTCTGTGTGTAGGTTCATAAATTAAGGCCAAGTTCATGTCATTTGTGGAAAACTATTTTTGTACAGTTAGATTGTGTATCAAGACAATTCATTTTATTACCTAAGATTATCTCAGACATGTTAAGGTCTTAAACATAGTTTTTCTGAACTTAAAATGTAAATAGCGAGTGTTTATTTCGCTTGCTGCGTCAGCACAGGCCTCAGCTCCTGCTCCTCCAGTGTCACATTGTGGCCGTCAGAGTAAACAAGGCTTAAAAACATGTTTCTGTTACTTCCTTTTGAAAATAAGTTCTGCCTCATTTTAAGTTTGTCATTGTTCTGACGACTCACAAAGGGAAGAATTAAATTCAAGAAAAGTTTAAAAATGTTAGTTCAAACTTTAGCTGCCTTAGAAGAGACTAAAGGAAGTATGATTCGGTCTGCGCGGTTTGCCGCGGACCGCAGTGACCGGCTTCAGCCGCGGTGCTAATCGCGGTGCTAATCGTGCTAATCGCGGTGCTAATCGCGGTGCTAATCGCGGTGCTGAGGGTGGAGCGCGAGGGAGGGCCGGCGGCGGCGGCCGGCGGAGGTGCAAGGAGCCCGCCTTGCGGCCGGCCGTGGCCGCGGAGATCGCTGAATCCGTCCACCTGTGTCCCCTTGTTTACTAAAAGACGCGGGCGGCTCATGCACAGGACTTCTGAAGTCCTGCGGCGCTGTACTTATTATCGCCGCATAAAGTCAACTTAAAGGTAAAGGTATGCTTTTTAGTTTTTATCAGCTGCAAACGTGAACATTTTGAGAGATAATTCCTTTTCATGTCGTAGGCACGTAAACGAGGAGGGGTTCAGGTCGGCTCACCGTTTTACTGGGTGGTGGGGGGCTGGTAGCTCCAGGAGGCCAGGAGTGTGGTGCAAAGGTTTGGGCAAGAGAGAGGCTGCTCAGAGGAGGCGAGGAGGCGGCGGGCGCCTTGCCAGCGGAGACGGCAGAGGCCACGTTTCAGGTCTCAACAGAATCCTTCATGTTTTTCAGTTCTTACTGATAAAAGTAGAAGTAAATTTTGAGTTAAAATAATTCATTTTCATAATTACAATAAAGTGGGTGCTAGTGGGAAGACAAAAAGCAAGTGTATCAAGCAGCGTGGTCCGTGCCTTACTTTGCTATAGCTATTTACTCCCTTTAATAATTAGTAACAAACATGTTTTGCTCATTAATATACATGTGTCATCACAAAAGTACATTAATTCAGATTTGCTAATATTTTCATGATATACCTGAAGAATGAAAGATCAGTAACCTTACTTTTTAAGGAAAACATACAAAAGAATATACGAAAGTTTGCAATCAGTTAAGTATTATAAAATTTATTATTGTTATTAAGTATAGGTTAATGGTCATAATATTTAATATTTAATAAGTATCTTCTAAATGCCAACCACTTAACCAAGAGCTTTATAATTAATCACTCATTTAATCTTCTCAACCATCCCCCTTTGAAGTAGTTTCTCTTATTTCCATTTTACAGATGATTAAACTAAGGTTAAAAAGCCTAAGGAGCTTACTATTAAGAATTAATATATGGCTTAGTCAAGACTTAAGACTGCCCAAGCCCTTGTTCTACTGTGTTCTGTTATCTTTTCTCTGAATTAATAGGAAGGAATTACACTGTCATGGTGGGTGCTATGCGAGGGAGCACTGTGGGCAGTCACACAGAAGCCAAGTGTAGCCAGCGCAGTGTTAGTGAGTTCACCAGGAATGAACTTCCTCTGGAAGAACAGTGGAAAATGTAAACTGAATGAACATCATCTATGTAGGGTTGCATACGGCAGTATACTCTGTGGTACACAATACTAGAAATGTGCGCTATTCTTGTTGATGTCTTCAGTATTCACCAACTTTGAAAGATTATTTGATTACTGGTATCTGGAAATTTGCAGTTATGAATCTTAAGTCATTTAGTTTTAAGTGCTACATATCTTGAGAAATTCTGTTGATGCATATCTACATATAATCATCATATTTTGACAGCAAAAGACCCAAAACTATATCCATAGATGAAAATATGGAACCAAGTCCTACAGGAGACTTCTACCCCTCTCCAAATTCACCAGCTGCTGGGAGTCGAACATGGCATGAAAGAGACCAAGGTGGGTGAGGAGCGGGCACTTCCAGGGTGGTGGGGTGGAGTGTGGGCCTGTTGTAAGTTTTGTCATGTTGTCATAGTGGAACTAATATGGGTTACATTTTCTTCATGAAATAATTTTAGTCATTTTTTTAAAGAGCATAGAAAAATAATAGATAACATAAAATTATTTTTAAGACACATTAGTCAGATATTATCAGAGCCATAAAAATCTTTATTTTTTGCATATTTTCTTAGACTACTTTAGAGTGACCCTTGAGGCCCCCCCAGAGGTATGTGGCTGATGGTGGTCTGTCCGTACAGTTGGTGAGAGGGGGTAGAATCCCAAGTTCCAGGATTCAGTTGTGTCCAGTTGGTCCTCTCTGCAGATGTCTAGGAGAGGAGTTAAGCTGTAGGCCACTGGGCACTGAAGGTTCTCAGTTAAGAAAGCCACAGTTCCCTTTTGAAGTCGGTGGAACCCAAAGAGTGTCTGATCCACTCACATTTCAGAGCAGCTTCTGGATGAAGCAGAAGTGAGGAAAGGGGTGCTGCTTAACTTCCGGGGGTTTGATACAGCTCATTTTCCTTCTGAAAGTCTGTGGAGGCTACCTGGGCTCTTCCCTACAGCTGGAGGGAAGTCTTCATCATAGAAATAGAAGACTGAATTCACTGCTGTTTTGTCAATGTGTATGCATGTGTACGAGTAAGATTTGATATCAGTTCTATAAAAATGTATTCAAAATTGTCTTTCAAGTTCTGTGTTTAAAAATACAAAGATGCTGTTTGACAGTGGTTTTTAGCCCATGACTTGGGTGTGGATATGGGGAGTGCGGTCTGTGTCTTCAGTGATCTTAGCAAATAATTCTGAGGCTCAGGAGTCAAGGCCCAATGAGTCCCTTATCAGGACCCTTCTTTATTGTTGTTTCTCAGGATTTTTATGTTGAGTGATATAACATTTAAAATACAGCAGAAAAGCTTCATGGATGAATCCAACTGAGTCAGTTGGCCCTCCTTTAGCAGGGTGTACTTTTTAACTTACAAACAAGTCAGGGGTCAGAGTGTGGACGTGAGTTCCATGGAGAGGGACTGAGGAAGGCACAGCCCCAGCTGAGTGGAGAAGCACACATGACAAGGTTACGTGCAGCAACTGCAGTGCTGATGTTGTGGTGCAAAGGGCGGGGACAGTAGGTGACGAGTCATTTTATGGAGGATTTGAAAATCAGCTGGGGAGGTTTGCTGTTGAGAACCTCCCCCACGTTTTTCTTCAGTAGGAAAACGCCATCCTTCCCAGACAAATCCCATCCTGTGGCTCCCTTCCTCACATCCTCCACTGACTTCCTGCCACTCCAGGCAGGAATCGGGGCTCCCTCCTGCGCAGCCGCCTGCCTCTGCCTGCCCCTGCGGGTCCCCTCCTGCTGCTCTTCCTCCTGCCACCTGCAGGTGCCACTTGACCTGGATTTGGAAAAGCCATGTGCAGCAGGACCTTCTTTTAAACCAGCCCTCCGGAATGTCCTCCAACTCTTCATCTAGTAAATTCTCATCCTGCAGGCCCACTTACACTGAAGGATTCCAGACTCACGTAGTTCTTGCTAGTTTTGCCCTTTGGAACAAAGGGTTGGTCCTTGTGCTCGTAGTACACACTTACATATTTATTTGTGAGACTAGCCGTGCACTCTGCGTGGTGAAGCCACGTTCCTGCAGTGTCTCGGCCACCAGCGAAAGCAGCACGTAACGTGACCAACACACAGTAGGCAGCAGGGACACAGTAACGTGTGGGATAAATGAGCCTACTAGGAAGAACTCCAGGTTTATGAGTGCAGGCAAGAAATAATACAGACTTTTTTGAGTTGTAGAAGTGTGAATAAAAACAAAACCCTCAACCTTTTATATTTTATTGCTTGTTTTACTGACATTGTCAGTTTAATTTAAACAGAGCTGTATTTTCCCTGTCAGAAAATTATTCTGGAAAAGAGTCTGGTGGTAATAATAATAACATTGTGAATGTGTGGGACTGAATGCATTGTTCAGAAGTGTAGGTGTTCTTTATTATAGAGCGCGTCATTCTGTACAGATTGATTCCTCTTTCAGCCTATTCAATAAAGCCGATTCCAAATCACATTATAAAACATTTTTGAAAAGTGGAAGGGAAACTGTCATTCTTTCTCTTTGTAAAATCGTTGCATAGTCTAGGTGATTTTCTATTGTCAGGATGTCTAGAATTATTGGGAAAATGTGTAAAAGCACATTATATTAAAAGTAAGGAAGAATGTTCCATTCTCAAGCAAACCTTAAAAGACCTTCTGTCACTCTGGTGCACATAAGCCACGGTGGGAAGACTTCAACTGCAGTGAAAACGTGGTAGCCGTATGGTCTGATCTTTAGAGATCTTCTCGGCCCCGTGTTATCCTTTAGTTCTAAGAAAATTGCTTTTTTAAAATTTGCAAAATACAATGACCCACAGTTGTTCTTGTCCACCTGCAAATGTTTTTTACACATACTTCTAGGTCCTAAAGGGAGCTATATAAAGCAATTTTAAGCACCACTGTGATACTTTAAGGGCTCCAGGATGTTGTATATTTCTTCCTCCCATTGAGCCCTACACTACCCTACTTAAGGATCATGATATGCTTGTCATTATAATTGGCAGAAATTCTTGAAATCAACTATTAGTTCCTTGATGTATGTCTTACTCTGTTAGTCTTAACTTTGCATTAAAATTTATTCTTGCCACAACTCTTCACAAAGTGATTTTTGAAATACTGTATAAGAATAAAAAATAACAAAATTATGGGCAGCATGTGACACTCTGCTTTCCTTTACAATCTTCATCTCCAATTAAATCATTGAGATGTATTACAAGTTGGCAAAAATGTGACATAATATGATCAGGTTATTATACCTATTTTATTTTTACCACTAGGCAAAGTATTGATACAAATTCTAGGTTTGTGTGACGACATATGTTCATATAGTTTTTAATAATTTAGTAATAAATTATTTTTTATTTTAGTATATTACAAAAAAACCTGATTGTATCTTTACCTTTTCAAGATGCAAAAAAGTGACATTTTCCTGATTTTTAAAGAATTATTAAAAAAGAATTCTAATTTTACAAAATATAGAAATGGATATTTTAGCTCTGAACAGTATTTAGTAGTGTTAGGCAGTCGGTAGGGGACGATATAATTTGCCTCAGTTTCACTGAATAGTGATAGAAGTTTCATCAGCCAATATCTAAGTTATGTAAAACTTGTATTTCTAATACGTACTCTTTAGACATAGAAAAGGCCAGGAAGGAGGCAGCGATTCTGGGCTGCCGAGTTGGCACGGCTGTCACATTCTTCCTGAGCTCCAGGGCGTGTCTCCTGCACCAGTCTCGCCGTGAGTCGGGTCTTTCTCTCCTCTCTGCGTCAGTCTCCACTAGCACCCTTGCTCTCGGTGGTGGGGATGGAGCTCGGCTCTCGTGCCTGTCAGCCGAGGGCTCCTACAGCTGAGCTACATGCAACGTAGCCCAAGGACCTTTTAAAATACTGCCCATCATTTCAAGATTTTTGTGGTTAAATAAATAGAACTGGGGCCAGGGAGATGGCTCAGTGGAACAAGCACTTGCCTGGCAAGAGCAAGGGCCTGAGTTCAATCCCTGGTTCCACAAAACAAACAAACAAACAAACAAACAAACAAACAAACCCAGGTTAAGTTAGCAATATGTAAGTTGAAGTTTTTTTAATCTCAACACTTAGACCCCTCCAAATTCCACTGTGTGTTGTCTACTTTAAAATTTTTCTGCTTCAGTCATTTCAGAGACTTTGTTCCTAGATGTTGCATTTTTCCAACGAAACATTGGCACAAACCCTTGTGACTTCTGATAAGAGATGGCATGTTTTCTTTTTTTTTTTTTTCCCTAATTCAGGTTACTTTCATGAGACTAAATCCAATCGTATTCTAATACTCAGGAATTTAGCAGACTAATAAATTATTTGCCTGAGCATCTGAGACAATCATTTATCAAGGTCACTTTGCCACTGCCATGCTAATAGTCATTGATTCATCAAAGTCTGAAAGTAAAACCCCCCAGAACATCACTTAATGGACATTTAGTAAGAAAAATAGGATATGGTAAATATATTTGTATTACATAGTTGGCAATTTCTACATGAGAAGTTTAATAGCTTCTCAATCTGGTGGGTTTTAAAAACTTAAGATCTTACATAAAGTATAACTTAAAAAAAGACTTCCATGCAATAAAACCTTATTGATTCCTGTACATTTAGAATTTGAGATGATTTGGCTCAGTTAACATTTTATCAAATGTTTTGTATATACCAAGAATTTTATAAGCATTAGACACACAAATATGTTTAAGTTTTCAGACCTCGATCTGCTGAATAGAGGAATATTTTTATAGAAATTCAATAGTATAACATATTAAAATGGGAATGTCTTCATGCTTTAGAGCTAACCTATCTTTTATGCACTATCAGGGAAATCTTTACACTAAATCAATAATTTGGCATATTAGGAAAAATTGGCAATGCTTATATTGATGTAAGTACAATTTTGAGAGTACTTTTGAAAGCTAAATTGGAATCTAATCATCTAGATACTCTAGATGAATGTGGAGAAGAATTGATTCGAAACTTACATGATGGCACAGTTGCTACATTTCTTTGTTGAGCTTTTATCATGTAAACAGTGGTGAGGAGCTCCAAGTGCCTCTCCATGTTCCAGTGCATGACATTAGAACTCACACTCGGGAGACGTCTCCACCGGGGTGTATGTTTCCTTCCAGCTGCACCGCCGCCTACTCTTCTCTCGATGCTGGGACAAAAACCCGACACTCAGAATGAGGAAAGGAAAGATTTATTTAGCTCACAGTTATTGGAGGTTTCAAGACTCTGGAGGAGAGGCTGGGGTGCTGCAGTGCCCAGGGGGACCCTCTGCACATCTCTGAGAAAGCACAGGCCAGCCAGTTTAACGGTTAGCACCCCGCTGGCCCCGCCCCCGGCCCCGCCCTGTTCCCAAGGC